ATCCTCAAGCAAGGGGCTTCAATATTCTTGAAATACACTAAAACCGGTGGATCTTTGGGGGGGGGTACCATATAAATGGGTATAGTATCTTTGAGAGCCCTGGCTTTTCAGACCAAAGCATTTATGGCCGAACCATGACAACGGCCATGGGCCATGGTACGAGTGCATACGATTTCGAAAGCATCCATGGCCGAACCATGATAACATCCGTGATACAATTGCATACGATGTCCAAAGCATCCATGGCCGCACCATGATAACGTCCGTGTTACGACAGCTGATGCTGGAAAACAGCTGCTTGTGCAAAAGCCCACGCAGGGCTCTTAAAGATACTATACATATATGTATTCATACACATATACTTCACTATCAATATGCCCCTACACATCTGCCTTTTTGGGGTGATGCAGGTCGGACCCTCAGCGGCATCCTGAGGCCAGGACAAGACCCCTCTCACTCCGCACGCGTGCGAACGCGTAATCACTGACCCTGGCAACATCTTACTCGGGGTCAGTAAGGACTTAGGGTATGCATTGTGGTGTGTGTGTATATATACATATATACATGGTGTGTATATATAAATGCATGTATATTTCTAGGGTTTAAGGTTTAGGTTTTGTAGGGTTCAGGGTGTAGGGACTAGCCACCAGTAAGACATTGGTGGATGCAGTGAAGACTCCTCGTGCTCACTGGTGGCTACTAAGAAATAGGGGATACCATCAGTACCTTCCCTCATCCCTTATACCAACCACCGGTAAGTGTATGGGTGGTTGTCAGAAACCCGGATTTTACTTCTATAGTCCCCCTGAAGTAAATAGAATATGGGGTATATGGGGATCTTAGTGTAACATACCCGAAGCCATATTCTATCTACTTATCCCTGATACTCTGGACAAGAACCTCTAGACTTGACACTTTTCGTTGGGGTAATTAAGGTCATATTGGGGTTCTATTGGGATAGTGTAAAATAGACTGGAAACTACTATTTGGGGCTTAGGGTTTGGGGAAAGCAAGTCTGGTTCATTGTTGGAGCTCATCTCGCCTCATGCTTAACCATTTGGCATGCTCCAAGGTTGAACCTCTGTCCACCCCAAAGAAGATAAGATGGATCCCTAACATAACAGCATTTCCGGGTCTTCGTGGGAATCCCTCTATTTCTGGAAACTACCATCTAGGTGCGTAGGGGAAAGTGCTAAAACCTACTTTGACGACTCATTTGCCCGCGACCCATGACATGCCAAAAGCACCGGGACTCGAAGCGCGGCCATTTGCAGTCAGAAGCAAGAATCACAACCCCCGAACAATGAACACCCACCATCCCCCAACAAATACAACCGTGTGGCGAATTTTCATGATTTGAGCCATAGTCTAAACTCCTGGTATCCCCCTTTATCCCCTCTAATGATCCCCTATAATACTCCCCTATAATACTCCCCTATAATACTCCCCTATAATAACCACCCTTTAAGGAGTTTAGACTGTAGCTCATTTGGGGGAGAGGAAGACTGGATGGAAAACCCTAAACCTAAACCTAGTATAACCCCCCATATTACCCCTATAAACCCCCTTAAAGGCTACCCCTAATTTCAGGAAACCCCCTAAGACTGGATGAGGAACGGTAATGATCCCAGCGCGGGGCAGCTGTCATTCCTGGACTGCCTCAAGGACCTCGGCAGAAGTTTCCGAACAGGGGTACTGTAAAGGGGGTTCTATATAGGGCTTAAGGTTTAGGGTTTGTAGGGTTTCCTGCTATATTCACATGGGAGTTCCCAAAATTAGGGTGGTTATAGAAGGGTTATGTAAGGTTTATATAGGGATATATAGGGTTTTAGGGTTTGGGGCTTCCTAAAATAGATGTCCCTATAACAAGGATTATGGCATATTAAGATCTATATTGGGGTACCCCTATTTTGGGAAACTGCCGAATTAAGATTGGAGGTGCATGTGACGCGAAAGGTCATCATCCACGTTATATGCTCCAATAGTTACTAGTTACACGCTGCTTGAGATCGCTTGGCTAAGCATAAGACGGCTTGGACGTCGATGGGCGCCTATTCACTGGTGAGCCCATGGCACGCGAGGCCACCGTGATCAGCGGCTGCGAAGATGTATTGCTTCTGGTGTTTGTTGAGGTCCGCTGGTGTGAGGGTTGGCTAGAGCAAAGGCTGAGGTAGGCTGTAGTTGTGTAGTTGTGTAGGGTCAGCAGGCTGGTCAGCGACAACAAGTACTGTAGCTTGAGCGGAGCTCTCTCGCCGAGTCGTGCGGCACACACCTTGTAACTTCTGATAAAGCGAAACCAAACCCGTCCATGATCCCGCTCTTAATCAACACCTGACCCAGCATGGGCCAAGACAACAGCAGCGGGGACACCATGCCACTTGCAAGAAGAGCAACTTGAAGCAGAAAGACAGCTGCCTCTGAGCTGCCGCATGTGTTACAGGCATGCCTTCTTACAAGTCCACACATCACGGACCCTTGGGCAAACCTGCACTCATACCACGCTCGGAGCCCTGCATGAAATCCATTAATTTCAATGCTCCATGAAACCTCCGAGATCTCTAAGGGTGCAGCCAGGAGCCAGGTACTTCGAAGGGCCTCCAGGCAGGTACAGCTTGTAAGGAGAAACCTCCAGCCTCTAGGACCCTGACCAAGAAACAAGCTCATGACCAAGCTACAGGATGCATAGTGTGCCCCAGCCAACCTTTTGACGGATTGGCGGAGCCCCCTTATCATTCACTTCCTGTGAGCTCACAGTGGAGCTTCTAACAACAGCAAACAAAAGAAGGGTCGCCAGGTTCCAGAGCAAGCATCTGAGTAGCTGGCTTGCCAGCATCTGCCGCTGTGATGCTTTCCATTTGCAGCTGACGCGGTTTCATCCGTTGTCCTGAAGCTGCAGCTGGGATGGATCATGCTCAGCATCTCTTGCTTTCCGGTAGCCTTCTTTTTCTGACAATTCGCATGTCGTGTCTGGACACACCAGAGTCTGCTTTGCCGCTCTGCTGGGAGCTCTGTCAAAATACATTCCCGGCATGTTGCACTAGGCGCAATGGGCACTGTACCGCTTTCATGCTTCTCACTCAACCTAGGCGGCGTGCTGAGGCTGCTAGGCGGCATCAAGCCAGACTGAAGTTTCTGGTGGGCTCTGAACTCTTTGCTCAGGTCATCAGTATATCTTAAAATGGCTGGGCTTGCTGACAATGTGCCCAGCATGGACGCAGGCCACTATCTCATTCATGCAATGGCCGCGCTTCAGAAAACCTGCTTCGCAGCTTGTGGGCAGCCAGGGATGTTCCGTATCCTCATCTCGCTCTGTCCTTGGCTGCTTGAAGTATGCTGCGCATCTGCACAATGCGCCACTGCCAATGGCATCCTGTCCACTAAATTACTTGTCCAAGGGCAAAACGCCTGTAAACTCCTGCGTTCTTCTTTTTTGAGCTCGGCCCCCGTCTCGAGAAGAGCATAAGTCCAGCTACTCACATAGTCCAGCTTCTGACTGCTCTGGGCTATCCTTTTCCTCAACTTGGGGCTTCTCAAAATTGTGTTCTCGTAGTTTCGTGGCGTGGCGGACATCCCAATTTTGAGAAGCTCCAAGGTTTGAGTTTAGCAAAGGAAAGACTGTATGCAAGCTTGAAAAGAAGTAACCGGGCCTAGCCTACTCAGCTGGAGTCCTTAGCTTTGCTAAACCCACTGGTCTGCAGCAGTGCCTCTTCTTGGGCACATCCTTCTTTCAGGAATAAGGGACCAGGTTGTCCCTCAAGAGTCTCTAGGGTTTCAAACCAAAAGAAAGGCGGGAAAACGTAATGGCTGGCACCTTGGCCCGATGCGCATTGTGCGCATCAGTTGAGATGCTGATAGGTATGTTGGCCGCACGTGACATAGCTTCATAACAAGATAACCTGAGAAGATGGGAATCTGTGCTAACGTCCTGCTGTGCAGGGAGGCATTGCAGAGAAGCAAGTGGTCTTCAGCCACTGGCTCTTTGTTATTGTTTCGTAAGAAGATAGAAGCCCAACGTCGCCAAGCGGCATCTCTTTGTAGCATAGCAAACGGAAAACGACAGTCACAGAAATTGCGGTTGAAAAAACATAAAGCAACCCGAAGGCTTGAGCTGTGCAGCCCTTCGCTGGCCGCGGGACTGCCATGAACACCATTTCAACAATGCTGTGGACTTTTGCTCAGCCAGCTCAGTGGTGACCCGATTTCAGATGCGAATGTGCTCTCATGTGCTGCGGCAGGCCAATGCTTCCAATCCAGTCCTTAGTGACTCTTAGTGTCAACCATACTCTGCCTCTTCTTGGACATGGCTTAGGAGCCTAAACACGAATGGCCAGACCACTAAACGCAACAGCACCATGAACCAAGATGCTAAGAACTCCGCCTGGTCCACGAAGGGCTTGGCCTGCCCGAAGTGCCTCGACTTGGCACTAGGCTAGACTCCGCCTTTTCCCCACTCATTGCATGGAAGCAGGACAGCCGCACACCTGCATGTTTGAGTTTCTTGCTGCTCAGGTACTGATAAAGCAAGCTTGCGACATCCATCTCACTCATGCCACTCTTCATTTGCTCCAACCACGCGGTAATCTCGAAGACCGTAAGGCGGCCAGCTTTTTTCTGGTCGATAATATTAAAAAGCATCATGTAGTCATCCTGCCAGTTCTCTGCACCATGGGAGGGATCGATAGCCAAGGCAGCTACAGCCTGAAATTTGCTCCATGTGAGCTGCTTGCTGCCGTCGTGATCGATGCTATCTAATAAGGACTGCGCAGATTCCTCCGATGTTGGGAAACCCATGGCTTTCCAGTGTGCTGCCAGGTCTTCCAGTGTTATCTCCTCATTGTTGTTGATGTCCAGGCTACCGAAAATCTGTTCAATCTCATGCTGCTCGCTGTAGGGCAATGCCCTGAACAAGCGAAGACCCTTCTGCCAGGTCTCAAGCACCAACTTTCTAGACCATGGGGCTTCGCTTGTCCAGCGATTGAACATGAAGACTTTGCGAACCACTTCTTGGAACCTCCTCCTCCTGGGCGTGGCCTTCATGGATGCCGTTGAGCTCGACCGAGTTACAAGATCCTCGTCTTCATCATCAAGATCCGTCAGGGTGTCCTTTCGGATGAAACGCTTGGCTCGGATGATGGCATGCGCTTTCTCCATGGTTTCAACCGACACATTGTTCTGCCGGGTGAACTGGAGCCGCTTCATTCGCTTCTCATATCCCATAAGCTGAGCTAGTCGGATGTGGAAACGAAGTAGCATCGATTTGGTCTCCAAGGACACCTGGCGCACAGTCGCGCTATCCGTCTCATCCCCAATGGAGCTCCGAATGGTGAGCCTCTCCAGGAGCACTGGCATGATCCCGAAGAGCATCAGTGGCCACTCTGCCCAAGCCAGAGCATAGAGCGCGATCTCTTTTGGGTCTGTGAAGGGGACACTCAGGTAGAAAAGAACCAAGCAGGTCACCAGCAAAGCCTGCCAAAAAGCTAAGAGCTCGAAGATGAATGAATACGACTCCTTCAGCAACATTCAAACTTAGGGTTGAAGCCCAATGTATGAGCAGCCCGGAGAAACATTACGAAATAAGACTTATAGCAGCGCACGTCGGGGAGAAGAGGCTGCTTCACTCGGGTCCAAGCAGATGCTTTGTAAACTCAAGGAAGAAAGAATAAACTTGACATCCTTGATGGCTCCCTCTTAGCAATTTAAATAAGGACACCAAAACGACCGAAATGATTGAGGGCCAAGCATGGCGACTCAAATGCTTCCCGGCCGCTGTTGACAGACTGGCGCGTCTGAAATTGGCTGCTGGCGATGGTCCGAGCTCCACTCTTTCATTCGCAACGCTGCCTTGGGACGGAACAAGCGAGGGGGGTGGGCCTTGGTTGCTTGCAGGATCTTGCAGGCTTCTCGAATCCTTGCTTACCTAGACCCATGGCATCCCCCAGCGCAAACACGCGAGCCCTACAGTGGATTCATGAATCGACAAGGCAATCCTCCTCTTCAACATTGCAAGTAGCCCTCCCGAATCTGAAAAGGCTAACGCTAGCTCCGCTGGACCAGCAGTAATGCCACGGCTGCAGAGATGCAAAGACCAGGAGCTCCGAACTTGAGCTCCGCATTCACTGTCGAGATGATGTCATAGTGCTTCCTTTGCAAGATGCAGCTCAAGAAGCCGTACTCCGAGCTTCCTGCCTAAAGCGTGCGGTCCAAGGAGCATGAGCATGGCGGTGCTTGTGCCCGAGAACAAAAGTAAAATCTTCCGCGCGTCCCCCGGCAAGGTGGGGGTCAGGCTGAGCGTGTCGTTCTCCAGCAGGTAGCCCACCACAATGCCTGCAATCTTCCTCTAGCTAATTGCACGACGAGTAAATTCTATTGTCCTAGGTGACCCTGGGAGTTCTATCAGAAAACAGAAGCCGATCCCGGATTCCATCGGCGGCTGGGTGCAACACGACTAGAAAATGTTCGAACCCATGTTCGCAGCCTAAGAGAAGGAGGAGGTAGGCCGCCAAGCAAAGGAACTCGCCAACCGCGAAGAGATCCAAGTGAATGCACACGAACCTTAATCACGGCCGAGCGTGCACTAGAGGACGTGGAAGGCAGCCCTTTTCAGACCAGAATGACTGTCCCCCAAGACCTCCCAAGTGATTGTGCTATCAGCTCAGGCGCAGCATTGGTGACAGAGCTGCTAGCGACGTGAGCCAAATCCACATGTCCACCTTGTGCCGGCTCACAGCTTCCCCCAGTGAAGATGGAATACGAAGACAAGAGGTTATAGCATGCTACACAGTTCTATACCATGCTACACACTGCAGAAGGCCTGTAAGGCGTTCGTAGGGTTAAGTTTGATTGTCAGGAATCATGCTCGCACCACCCTGCCTCGACAACACACACAACGATGTGGCCTAACCGCTCTCGCAAGTAGGCTTCAAAGCTGAACTGACCTAAGTAAAGGTTGCACAGCGCGTCAAAGCATGTGCAGCTCAGCACAGCCCTAAAGCCAACCTCAGGTAGCAAAAGGCTGATAGGATGCCTGGCGAGCAGCGGGGGCATGTTATGTGCTTGTGGCTCTTTTGACTTCGGGCAGAGCCGAAGATGAACTGGTGACGGATGGCCCTCCACATCACCAGATTGTGCAGCGTGTCCTGCAAAAGGCGCAAGTGCGAGGAGGGTCCTCACCAAGTGACTACTCCAATCATAAGCAGCCAGAAGCAGCACCAGGTCGGATTCCCTCCCACGCACCGCAGAAGTCGGTTTTGGCATCAAACACATTCGCTCAAGAATTCTTGGTGTTCCAGAAGGTTGAAGGTTTACTTTTGTTATCTGGTGGTCTCTGAAGCACCTTCATTGTTTGCAGGCAAGGCCACTTGAGTCCCTACTGTCCGCAAAAGACAGACCTCAGACCTGCAGCCCCAAAACGCCACATCCCAAAACAATGCTATGCTCTACCGCCCAGAGCCCGTCATGATGCAGCACCATCCAGCGGAAGAAGGACACATCATAGCTGAAACTCTCCTGCCAGATGCAGTGTCTGCGATAATTCTTGAATTTCGCGCCAGGAGCTTTCAAGGGACTTAGCGAATTAGGGTTGGCGTCTTGCTTAAGCATTGCTGCAGCTGGTGAAGTTCCACTGCTCGGCCTGGAAGATGGCAAGATTCAAGCCACTTCTACGTGCGAGGAAACTTCAAGGCTTTGACGTCTGGCTGGGCAATAGCCGCGCTGTATGCTTTGATGCATTATAGAGTTATGCTGGCGGATTCTCCTTCATGTGGGGCAACTCAACGATCTCAACGTTCTCTTGCAAGTGTGAATCTTGCAGGGCATTAAGGCACCCGCGGGTTGCACATGGCCTGGGGTGTCTTCCCATCAGCGTGAAGCTTGCGACAAGCAGAGCTGGCAAGTTACCGTTGCTTGGACCATCATATCCGGCCAAGCTATGGGAGTAGTTCCCAAAATTAGGGTCCCATGTTGGTACATCGAGATATTGGGTGCCGTAATATTAATAATCTATAGCCACAAGGGGCCAATAATTTTGAGAACAACCCGTTAAGTCAAAATAGAAAGCAGGGTCCTTCAAGTGAAGCTCCATGCCACGTGGTGCCTGCGGAACGGCCACCCGTTCCAGGTAGCCCGCCTCGCCTTGGATTCAAGTTCTGAGCACAGATCGTGACATGGAACTTAGACACGGACTTCGTCTCTAAGACATTCAAGCTCGAAAGCCTCAACCATGGGTGAAAGTGCCTTTCGGGGCGGGCTTGGCTCTGCAAACCAGTTGAGATGTTGATGTAAACTTATTGACTGAATCTCACGTTGCAAAGGGCTTAGCGAGTTAACCATGGCATCCCACGGCCCAGTCACAGAATAAGGATTCGATCGAGTCCTGCCTCAGGCCCCAGGCGCGTGCCCTCTCGTATCTGCCCCACGTCTCAGTCACAGTTTTGGTGACGTGCAGTAATGCCATGGCTTGAAAAAGAAGAACGGCCATGAGCAAAAAGATCATCATGTGGACTGTCTCAAAGGATTCAGCGATGGGATCGCCCACCTCTAGTTCGGCCAGCGTGTCGCCAAAGACCCTTTTTCCCAAAACATCCTGGGTGACGTGGCTCTGCGTCATGAGGAATAGGAACATGCCAATGAACCCCAAGCCAGAGAACTCCTTGAACAACACGTCCATGATCTTCATCCCTACATGATCACCAGCAGCATCAAGCTGATGTCGGACCCAATGTTCCACCGACTCGAAGCAAGCAGTCAAGAGCACGACCACAGCTATCTCTGCAAATAACAGCCATGGGCAAAGGACGACTTCCTCCAAGAACTCCTCGAAGATCGATTCCTCATGCTCTGGCTCGCCGGCATCGTGCTCGGCTAAGTGAGGGCCCAAGTGAGAGCTCGAGTGAGAGCTGCGCGCAGAACCCTGCTTTCCCCACGGAAGCTTCCAGGTAAAGGCCGGCACTCTCTGGTGGACTGTTCCTGGCGCCGAAATATGTGCCAGGCAGTAGATGCAGCTCAGGACAATCAGGACTTTGGAGGCACTACGGCCCCGCGCTCTCATGGCGTCCGTCTTGATTTCAAACGTCTGCGAGGCCCCAAAAAAGCTGTCCACAGAGCATTAACAGCATTAACTAGGTCAAGGGATTGCACCCTCGAGTGCGCATCCCTGGCAATTTACGCAAGCCCTTGCCCAGCCAAGCGTCTCCATATAATGGGAGATGCAGCCATGGTTTGAAGCCATGACTAGAGCAGCGCTGGCGCCATGTACTGCTTTCGGCCCCGGGCTGCAAAACTAATGCCTCCTTGTAATGCTGGCGAGCTACTGAAAAACATGAGTTTTGGGCCGTTATTCTTGCAACTAATGGCGGAGGAAGCCAGAATCTACAACAAAGGGGAGCTGCTACAGCCTGTGCAAAACCATGTGCTGTCATAGAACCGTGAGGGCAATTGCAACTTGTTTTTTGGTATTATCATTGACTCTAAGGGATCCAAACAAGGTGGCAAGTATGTCTAGTTGATGGAGCATGCACCGAAGTAGATGTTAGATGATAGTGCTGATGTCAAGCATGTGTTCTGACCTAGTGACTTACGAGGCTCATCCCGTAAATGCGTGGTTTGATGCCATCGCAAGTAAGACAGGTGCAGTGAACACCTGTAGGCAAGACATGCAGCTTCGCCTGCCGCTGCCTTCCCCTTCTCCTGGAATGGCTCCTCACAAACATGAAGTGCCTCATGAGTTGCGGGAGTGACCATCCTGCATTCGCTACATTACTCTCACAGTCATGTCCAAGACAGGCAAAGCGCCGGAGGCCTTTGGTGAGCTGATGGTGAAGTATTGCGTGCTGCCACCCTGCACCATCAACAAAAGAAACTCAAAACGGGTCCCGCATCATGATATAAATATAAGCATCAAGACAAATCGAGAAAAATGAAAAATTGCGCACGATATCAAAAAAACAATTTAACAAGCATCAAGAAAATTTATCAGGATAAGTGTAAGAATAAAGTGAATGGGGAATAGTAGTACTCACAGTACGAATACGGATAGTACGTATTCTGGTAGCAATACCGATGAGAACAACAGTTGGAAAGAGACTACGGCTCAAATTATTTGTTGATGCTTGGCAATTTCTCTTGATGACGTATCAAATTACTTGCTGATGCCTATGCCCAAAGCGGTCTACCTCCAAACGTCATGTGGTGAGTTCAAGCCACCCTTCTGCATGACACTTTGCTCGTGTGGATTGCCTTCAGCCGTCTCCGCGTCTGCACCTGCAAGCAAGACTGTGGCTTGACTTGAGGCGATGACAAAGAAGCGAAGCCTTAGAGTAAGTCGTCTGGAATGGCGGACAGTGCCAGCCTTCGGATCCTTTGCGTCAGCTGGAATCTGAATCGGCCGCAAGGCTGCCAAATCCTGGCAGACTTTGCGACTTGACGGCTGGAGGCCATGCAATAGAAAAGTTGAATACAACAGTGGCTTAGAACCGAAAAACGCATTGGCTCCCAAAAGCCCAAAAAAAGACTCATCAGCTTAGACCAAACCATCAAAAGTGAACGCTGCATTGCCTGCAAGCGCCAAGAAGCGGGAGGTCGCGCCAAGGATTGGGGGTTGTGTGGAACCCCCTTACCCCGAAACACTTCAGCCGGCCAGACTTTTCCAGTTTCCTGGTGTGCTAGCTGAGCGCGCACTGCCTTAGGGGAAGGCAATCTGTGTGACTACCTGATGTATGATCAAACACCCTGCACTTGCACTACGACGCCACTACAAACTCCATGACGACAGTCTGCCATGGTCTGCAAGATCTGGTGCAAGGAGCCAGGATATTTGCTCGTAATGCATGTGGACAGCAAACTACCACCTGCACAAAAAACGTGGGTCTTAACTTTGCGGCACCGAAGTGCACATCTACCTGCACCTTCTGACTTTTCGTTCATTTTTTGCACGCTTTACCTGCAGACGGCTCTGCGAACTATACATTACATGCATCCTATATCTTGGCTTTAGCTCCTGCATGACAACCGCAACATGCTGAGCAGCTGGCTGCAAGCTCCTGCTCATCAGATGCATGTACGGCTTTGGACACCCCTTCCCCCATCCATACTGTAACAATCCGCCTCGTCGAATCTATGGGGTGTTTGCATGCATCACAAGAGCCGCTTCACAATCCCTGCGCACAACCCCTGTACCCTGCATGTGCCCTGCATGTACCAATACAGGCTGGACCGAATATTAAAATAGTACCACTTTGACACATCAGCCCGTCCACCCCCTACGTTGGAGCTGTCTTTCTGCTTCAACAGCGCTGTCCCACACACCTTTATCATCAAATATCGCATCTAGAACCCAAGTATCGGATGCTCATGTTCTTGTGGCAGCTATTGTCTCAGTGACAGGGGGAACAGATTCTGACTGGTACCGTGCTCACAAAGGATCATTTGAGCCTCCACCCCTGCCTTCACCCACTTTACCCTGAGCCCAACCTCAGACCGTCTCGGCCCTCAAGCCTGAGGCCTGAACCTGAACTGAACCTCGCCCAGGATTTTAGGGTTCATGAGTTTAGAGTGTGGGTTTTAGGGCCAAGGTTTTCTTAAAGATGCAAGACATCCTCCTCTACACCTCTTGCCGCCCCTCACAGCCACCTGTCCCCGGTTCTCCGCCAGCTCGCGCCAGCGCCCCGCCTCTGCAAGCTGGTACCCTGTGCAATTCTGGAACTCCCATACTTCGGATTGGGTCAATCACATCAGGGTGCTGCAGTAGTCCTGTTACACCACTGCGAGTGGGTGGGAGGGAGGGGGGGGGGGCAACGCCGTAGTACACAAGAGCAAAAGAACACTATTCGCCTAGTCGCACATAGATGAATGGAGATGCTACGGCTAGCTATCATCTAACCATCTTCTCACAAGGCGTATTGCCAGGGCTGTTGCTCGAGAAAATCCATACCGGCTCCTGGAATGAGGTACCATGCGGCTACATTAGCTATACTGAAGATGCTAGGATGACTGCCTCACCCTGACATACCCCGACAGTATCTGGGCACCTCCGTGACCTCCGACCCTGCCTGGATCAAAGGGCCAAATTTAAACCATGACCGCAAAGGAGGATTGCAGCAGACTTCTCCCTTCCCAGAACTGAGATGTTGCTTCGAGCCAGAATGCCAAGAGGACTGCTCTTAAACAAACGCGTCATGATTCTGAAAGTTGCCGATTCAAGCCCTTTTTTGCACAACCTCCAATGAAAAAGACTAGGGAAAAAGTGCCAGCATGAGGGCCAGCCTCATCGCGCGCTGCCTCTGGTGCTGCAAGGGTCTTCCACCGTGGGTATGCATGCCACACCCCGGAAATGGGTAGCAATGGTCCTATTACCCCAAATGCACATACGTAGGACCGGAATGCCTATTCGCTTTGCTTTGAAGATATGATTTCCCGTGTCTGCTTCAGCCTTTGGCCTCCTTTACAGAACTGTATCCCCTTGGGGTTGACAGGCCTAAGCGCCAATTTGCCAAACTCCCAATTTAATGGCCGCTAGATTTGCTAGATTGTGGTTCAATTTAGATTTGCATTCAGCACGATGCTTCATTGCGTATGATTGCAGGAATGCCTGCTACCATTAACATTTCTGGAGTCTCCCGCATAAGGCGATGCCATCCTCACAGCTAGCCTCTCATAACATCGCAATTTCCAAAGCTGCAAACGTTCATAAGCTCTGAAGTCACCAGCTCTCCGTGCTATCAAGGCTACGATTTTCCATTTGATTAACATTCTGGGGGTAGTCCCAGCATCCTATGCATCCCCCTCCGCCCGCCAAGTCCTACATTTCGGGGTCCCCTGCATCTAGACCTAATCTAACTGGAAGGTTGTCAACGTGATGGTCCCCTTTTCGGGCTCTGCCTAACAATTATGTAGAATTCCCAAACAACACACAGAGAAAGGGATGGTTACAAATACCCAGGTCTAAGCCTAAGTTTGGGGTCTCCAAAATACTATATATCCTGTTCTAACATTGGACCCCCCACCATGGGGACCTCCAGGAAGCGAAAACCCCGCAACTCTGCGTCTAGTAACCAACTCTCCCAAACGAATAACGACCCTTCCCCTACCCCTCAAAAACATGCTTCCTTTTCAGGAGAACTTGATGATAACAAACAATTGCTGCCAAGTGTGTACTTCTGCCGTAGTGGGAAGATCTGTTGTTAAGGTGATATTTCCTAAAATAGGGGTACCCCAACATAGACCCTGAAGTGATACTATAGTCCTTATCATTGGGACCCCCAGAAAGGTACCCCTAGTTTCGGAAAACTCTCAGGTGGCGTTGGGTTTTTTGTTGCGGGAAATAACATCCACACAGGGGACCAAGCTCCAACACCCTAAACCCTGTATGCCCTTATATGCCCCTATATGTACTCATAAAAGTCCCCTTAGCTAGATAGAATATGGAGTATATGGGGATCTTATTATAACATAATCGCTTTGCTGGGGGGCCTATCGCTTTACAGGTTTGTTGCGCACTGCTATCATCCATTTCGGGGGTATCGCTGTTGGGGGGGGCCTATCGCTTTACTAAGGTTTTGCTCATGTCCTTGAATTTTATCACTGCCTGCTCTTGGCTCTTACACGATAATAAAAGCGGTCTCTCACATATCCCCTTTGAAGGTACAGTACGCCACGGGCGCCGGGCTTGCAGCTGCTCGCGGAGGATGTACAGCCTGACAGATGGGGCTCCAAAAAGTTTAGTGTCTCCCTGTAAAAGGGCTTAGGATTTAACCGGGGGACTTTTACGTCTGCACGAGGCACCGGTTGTTACAAAAGACATAGGATTTAGGCACAAGGGTTTGCCGGACATCTATGTTCATGCAAGCTCGCCCTCACAAGACA